AAGAAAGTGGCATCTGCTTTTCAGTCCAGGAGAGAGAAAAGGCTCAAACAGGCTTAGTGGGTAGACAAGATTTTTCATGCACTTACAGGTTACATGTAGCCTTGCTCAATTCCTGTGGTTTTGCTTCAGTAGAAGATAATTATTTTTCCTATGAATTACTAAAGAAGTATTTCCCATGCTAATTAAAATTTTAAACTGGCAGACATCAGAGTATTTAAGAGGAGACCATATTAAAAGGTAAACTGAGGCACGGCAAAGTTTTAAAGAATTTATTTGAGCAAATAGTGATTCACGAGTTAGGTGGCTCCAACTCTTGGTTTGGCGGCTCTACAGAGGAAACACGGGATTGCGTTTATAGAGGTAACACAGAAGTAAAGGAAGGCGAGTATTTGATTGGCTACAGTTCCAAGGTTGCTTGATTTGGTCTGTCCTGCTGGAAAGTCTCTAGTTATGTCATTGAATTGGTGCTTCTGATTGGTCAGCAGTTTGATTGGTCAGTGTTCTGTTTTGTTGTTCTTTGATATAGACATTTACAAGAAATAGAGCAAGTTCGGTTTTGCTTCAGTAAGGTCCCCTGTGAGGCCGACCTAGCTTTGTCTGCTCCGGGATTCCACAGGCCTGGTCTCTGTCTTAGTTTACTGTGACACGTGGTAGAGGAAACATCACTGAATCTTTGAGGATATTTTCTGCCCTTATGCAGACTGTTCTCTGGACCTTCCACGTCGATAAGAATCTACTTGGTCTCCTAGATGGCATCTCAGAATTTACCTGAGCCGCACATTTCTAAGATTTAGCTCTCACAGCGGCTAATGAAGTCCAGGTAGGTGAGACATGAAGGAACGTGGATGTTAAGTCTTGTCATTTAACTGCTCTGTTGTGCGCAGAGTATCCTGTGTGCATCTTGTTTTATAAACAGGAAGGCTGGGGGCTCAGAATGCTGTGGATGGGTTTAAATGACAGGCCTCGGAACTTCGTGGATATTTGGGATTTTTTTTCATGTTGACAAAAGTACACAGCCATACAATGATAGTGCTGGAAGGGACCGTTGCAGTCTTTTTCCAGATTCTCAGTTTGTAAAGCCATCTGTGTAGCAGTGATCAGCCCATGAATTTGAAGTCAGAAAACACAATCTGGGCAGCTAACCCTTCTTCTGAGCCCTTGTTTCCCTTTGCACATTTTAAAAATATCTTTTCCAAGTGAAAGTGCTTTCCTGGCCTCCGTCCATCCTGCGTTCCTCTTCAGCTGACGGAGTATTATGATGCAGCCCCGGGGCCTTTTGGCAGCTGACCTCATTCTGTGCTTCTAGGAGGAAATGGAGTCTCTTACTCACTCAGCACCTATCCTGCCTCCCAGGGTCCTCCCCATAGTGCACAGGCTAGAGGGCAGAGAAACTCCGCCTCCCGCGTCCACCGCAGTGAGGACTTCAGAAGTGCTTTAGAGTCCACCAGTCCGATGCCTCACGTTAACCTTGAAATCAAGGTGGGTGAGAATCAAGTGTGTGAAGCATCTGTTGTACTGGTGTGGGTCTGACACAGAGGTTCTCAAACTCCATCTGCCTTAGAATCCATTGGAGGGCATATGGACAAAGGTTGTTAGGTCCTAGCCCTAGAGTTTGTGATGCAACTGGTCTGCAGGGGAGTTTGCAGGGTTTGTGATGCAGCTGGTCTGTAGTGGAGTTTGCAGGGTTTGTGATGCATCTGGTCTGTAGTGGAGTTTGCAGGGTTTGTGATGCAGCTGGTCTGCAGGGGAGTTTGCAGGGTTTGTGATGCA